TATTTTGAAGATGGCCCGTTTTACAAATCCTCTCCTCTTTCAAATCCACCACTTAGTCTTCAGAGAAAATCTAAAAGTGTAGCTAATGGTTTTATGTCAGAGAATTGGAGTTCCTGCAAATCATCTATCAACACAGGACACTAGAGACAATGGTTCGGATAGATGTTTAACATTAATCAATCAATCATGCAGAAGGTAACATCAGACCACTCTCCAATTGTGTTGCAGTGTGGTGATTGGGGAGCCTCCAATTCTTACTTCAAATTCGAGAATTGGTGGCTTCAAACCGAGGGGTTTAAAGAGAAGGTTAAGATCTGGTGGGACTCTTTTCCCAATGTTGGAAATCCTAATTTTGTTCTAGTGACAAAGCTGAAGGCGCTGAAGACCAAACTCAAGGACTGGAGTAAATCAGTCCAAGGTAATTTGAGAATTCAAAAGCAGTTGGTATTGGCAAAATTGGCAGAACTGGAAGAAATCCAAGAACATAGAACCTTGCAAGAGAAGGAAATTGTGTCCAGAATGACTCTTCTAAATGATTTTGAAGATAGTGCCACGTAGGTCGAAAAGGGGTAGAAAATTATATATAAAATAAGTTCGGGAGGGGGGGGAGGGGGTAATAGGACCTTAGTAAAGGTTAGGTGTGTCTCAGGGATTTTGGACATAGGCTGGGGGGTACTTATGCATTTTTGGTAATTTAGAATCATGTTCAGAAGATTTTTAAATTATTTAGAAACATAGAATTATTTAGTTGGTTAATTTTTTTAAATTTATTTTTGGTTAATTTAAGCTACAGATATAAAAGATTTTTAAATTTTACATTTTAAATTTTAAAATTGTTGAATTTTTGTGGTGCTGACATGTGCACTTTTTACTTCTCCTATTATATATAGGAGAAGTAATACCGAATTTTTATTACTATTTATTTAAAATAATTTATTTTTAATAATATTGAATTTTTATTATTATGTTTAAATATAATTAAGAAAAAATAGAGCAATTTTTTGGAACACTCATAACTAAACAACTGATTTGCATTTCAAAAGAAGTCATTTGACAATTTTAAAACCATCTTCTCTAATTATTTGGCTTCATGTAAATGTTTTGAATTGTTATGTTTTAGATCTATATCTCACCTATATTGGAGGTAATGGGGACGTGGGTGAGGATTTGTGGGGGTATTATTTAATTTAGATAGGAGAACTTTTTAAAATAAATAAATTGAATGTTAAAAATATGTAAAAATTTGAATTGGTTATAATTTTTTAATGGTAACTTTTTATTTTTAATGTTCAAGATATAAATATTTAAATTTTAAATTTAACTTTAATTATTTAAAATAATATTAAGAGTAATTAATCCTATTTTGCTAATGATTAGTGAAAAAGTAACAAAGAATATTCTTTTTCTTTTAATTCGTATGATAAATTAACTACAATGATAATACTATCAAAAAATTAAAACAGTTTAAAGCACTAAAGCAACACTAAATGTACTTTTCCATGAACATCATAGTAATAATGAAGTATAAACCTCTTGACATAATCAAATGATGTTTAATCCTATAGTAATATTCCCTCAGCAAACACAACTGCAATGTTCAGTTGACGCTTAAGAATCTAAGGCTTTTAGTAGAATGTTGCCCTTGAATATAATCACATACAATCAGATGTACCTAACCTTCAACACAATAACCATGTAACTTAGCAGATTTTTATATCATACTCTAATCAAACTGTGAACTTCAATAACTCATTACAGGACTTGACTCAAGAAAATTTGAATTGGGTTGGTCTTGACCCGTTTTTTGTCTTTACCCATTAAATGACTAGTATTGAGAATGATTTCTTTCTCTAACTTATAATTTTATTTTGAATGTGCAGGAAAATGCGGGTGATTGAAATTGAATAGTGGCCAGAAGTAAACTCGATTGTAGTGAACGATAAAGATTTGTTGTAATGTTGCCATATATGTTTGGATGCATTTGATTTTGTGGAATTTATTGCTAGTAGAGATCCTTAAGCAATTGTTTTCAAAGTATGGGTTGTACACACTACAACATTTTAGGCCTATGACTACACTAAATCTAGACAACGCTTGTAAAGTGTTGCCTAAAATATTTTTGGATACACTTTAAAAGCGTAGCCAGTGTTTTTAACTTTTGACTACGATAATATTGACATCTTTTGTAAAGGGTACTCTTTAATGATATAGGCTACACTTTAGAACTGTTGTTATATAATTATGATATAATTGGCAACAAATATTTATATATATGGCCACACTTTTTAAAATATGTTATTTTTATAATTGAAAACTAAGACATTACAAGTGTAGCCTTAATATTTTCACTAAAATATTATATTCCCTCCAACATTTTCAAGTATCCCTCCAATTTTTAATTGGGAAAAATAATAATAATTCATAAAACATTAAAACTTTCTTTTCTCCCAAATCACAAAAAATTCCGTCAAATTGAAGAACACGCTCTTTAGGTTTTTCTCTCCAAGTATGAAGAACACAATTTCCATCAAACTTTCTCACAAATTTCTTGTTGAAGAGCTGAAGAGCTGTTCCGTCATATTCTCGCTGAAGAGTTGTTCTCGCTGAAGGTTAGGCCTCACAGATGAACACGCCTCATGAAAAGATTTCTTGCTGAAAATTGAACAAAATGCTTCACTTGAGAAGATGGTGTCTTAAAGCTTCATCACATTGAAAGGATTTTGTTGGATTAGGGTTTATCACGTAAGTAATTCAATCTTTGAAAGTCTAAATTTTAGGTTTAGGAATTTGATATTCTTGTGTTGTTGATACGATTTTTGTTGATTTTTGGAAGTCTAACTCGTAGATGTATTACCCACATCAGTTGATTCTTTGCCCTGAGCATTAATAACTAAATAAGTAGAAATGGGCTGATTAGGGCTGATTCTTCACTTGAGAATTTCTTTTTTATTAGGTTCATAAGCTGATTAGGGCTGAAATCGTCCATGATAGTGTAGCGAAAAAATCAGATGGCATCAGCAATAATGGGTCCATCAGGATCAGGAAAGACTACTCTTCTCAATGTTCTGGCAGGTCAAACAAAAGCATCACCTAAGTTAAATTTGTCTGGTCTTTTGGACATCAATGGGGTGCCATTTTCAAACAGATTCTTTATAAAATCAGAGGTTTTAAAGTAGGATAACTATAGATATCTGGCCGCTATGCTTCCCTGTAGAGTGTAGTCTTCTCTATGAAGTTAAAATAGCAGGGACTCCCAATTTTCACTTTTATCTCATCTATCTTTCACTTGTAATGGTGCTTACCTCCTGGCCACAACCATTATCCAGTCGTGCTGACTCCTTAGTTACATGATTGTGTCAAATTTTCATGTAGTGGAAGTCAGAATAATTATTATCGGCTGAGATGCGTAAAAATATGTTGAGCTTGTGTAGGCATCCAAATCTTGTGATTATATGGTTCTAGAGAAGTCTAAAAAATGAATCTGAATATTTTTTCGATCCTTGTAGAGGCTTAACTTGTTCTTCTACTTGCACATACAATATACTGAACTCAATAATGTTAAAAAAAAAAAGTTTGTTTATGGTGCTATTAAGGACTTCAAAACCATTATCTCGGGTTCTATATTCCTTGTGATGTTGTACTGTCTGGAAATGTGTATGCTTGATTCTCTTTTATGTCAAGGAAATCTTGTGGGGTCTTAACTAGATATATATGGTACTAATTTCGAAGTACTTTTGTATGTAAAATAGTGCATTTGGTTTTAGAAATTTCTACACATAGAAGGCGAAGGAATAAACATATAAAATGAAAGCTAACAAGATGAGCCTCTAGTGGAAAAACATTTAGACTGGAGCTAAACCAATATCATACATTTATTAGTTAATGACTTGATGAATATTTCTCCCTCTTTTCATATAGAATTCATATCTGCATCCTAGTTTTGTCCAGTTATTATCTTGTATATTAGTGGTGTTTTTTTTATAAGGATCTTCTACGTTAATGTCACACCTCCTTTTTTAATGGTTTCGGTGTCTGGATTCCATTTTAGCCTCCTACAATGGAGGTTCAGCTTGAAAGCTAGATGTATTATGTTTAACTTACTTTGAATCATTCACATAGTAATAATAGAAAGTTTTCCACCCAAACTTCTAAAAGATATGAATTATCAACTTTCCTCGGTGGCCGTTGTGAGATATTACTAGCTCCTTCAATCTAAGAGGAAGTACATTTGAAGTCATAATATTAATGTGAAGACAAGATTATACTTCAATGGTTGCTTTTTCACCTTTTTACTTGTCGCCACAAAACCCTGCTTTCAGGACTTGATACTTTTCAAGCAGAGCAAGTGATGGAAACCTTAAGATACCTTGCACAAGATGGACATACTGTTATATGTTCTATACACCACTCTAGAGGTTCTGTGTATGCAAAATTCGACGACGTTGTTCTGTTGACAGGGGGCTCGCTCATTTATGCTGGTCCTGCAAATGATGAAGTACTAGCGTACTTCTCGAAATTCGAGTTTGTTATATGATCGATTCCTAAAATTACTTATATAATTTTTATAACATTATAGTGCTTTAGTTCTCAATCAGGCATTGTATTCCTGGAACTGTAGCTTATTTGTGCGGTTTGTTGGTCTGACAACATATATGTCTATATGGTGCATGTTAATTGAAACATGTATTCTTTTAAGTAGAGCTAAATGTCCCTTTGATAAACTTGATGGTGATTTTAGTGTCACATTTTATTCTTAAACACATAGATATCAAGTTAGAATGTGGTAAGGCGAAAATCATAGATGCTATATCTATCTATTAGGAGAAGAAATCATTTAAAGAAGGGGATTCTTATATGTAGATTACGTACTTCGTTCTTAGAACGAGCATGAAGTAGCATGATAAGGAAATACTGTTTATGAATTTAGTGTGCGAGTTGCAACACTTTATGATGTAAAACATATACTCTTGGGTTTTCTTCTGGTTATTTTATAGGGGAGGGTGTGGGGCGAGGGATGTGTAAATTTATGTACGTGCACACATGTACGCTTGTGTAAATTTATGCTTTTAAGTTAAGCCATTGACATATGGATATGGAGCCAACTTAATTTCCTATGATTCATGTGAACTGAAAACTGCAATTTGTTAATCAAGTATTGATGATGGTTACTAAATGACAGGTACATTTGTCCAGATCATGTAAATCCTTCTGAATTACAGTACATACACTAGTCTCGTACGCTTTCATACTGTATAGCTTTCCACAGAATCAGTGTACAGGTTATAAAATCAATTTACAGTACATACAGTAGGTTATAGCTTGCACTAAACTCAGCTGTACAGGTTATAAAATCAGTTTACAGTACATACAGTAGGTTATAGCTTGAACTAAACTCAGTTGTACAGGTTATAGAATCAGTGTACATGTTATAGAAGTAGTTTACAGTACATACAGTAGGTTATAGCTTGAACTAAACTCAACTGCTGCAATATGCTATTATCAATTACTCTTATCACAATTTATCTAGAGAAGTAAAGAAAATAAGAACAACCATGTATATTAGATCAAAATCAGTGTACAGATTATAGAATCAGTTTACAATACATATAATCTAAACTCAGCTGCTGCAATCTGCTATTATCAATTACTCTTATTACAACTTATCAAGAGAAGTAAATAAAATAAGAACGACAAAGTATATTAGATCAGAATCAGTGTCCAGGTTAAAGTAACACAGCCCCAGGAACTTTAATACAACAACAACAACAAACCCAATGTAGTCCCATAAGTGGGGTCTTGGATACAGTGCTGGAAATTCTGGAAAGAGTTAATACAGTGCTGGAAATTTTGGAAAGATTTACAGGACCCCTCTTTGGATTTTTCTCCTGCTGCTACTGTTCTTTGGCCTGAAGTGGACTTGGAGTTGGCATTGATCTACTAATAGGGATGGCAATGGGGCAGGTCAAGGGTGGGGCAGGGCGGGGCAATACTTAAATGGGGCGGGGCAGGGAAGGGAAGTGAGAACAACACTTGCATTTTGGGTGAAAGAGATTATAAGTCATAAAGTAATTGAAAGAATGGAACACACTTACATTGAACTTGCACTACAAAGGCTTCTCCCAAATCCTAACATATGAATTTTAGGAAATGTAACAGCCAAGAGACAAGCTGTTCTTTCTTTTCTCATATATACCACAACTTACTCTTCATCATATGATAGCAATGGTGAGGAAAGCACATTTTACTTATGGGGAGAAGCAGGGAATTACAAAAGAGATAAATGGGGTAGATCAGGGCATGGCTTAGTGGGGTAGGGGAGGGGAAGAATCCCCAGTGGTTGATTCTTCATGAATCTTCTCTGAGCTTGCTCGAATTTGCAAACGCGATTGAGGCAGATTGTTGTTTAATATTGCTGGTATCAGTATTGCACAACTTATGGCCTTGGTCCGGTGGCCCGTCAAGTTTATGGCAGATTGTTGTTAAATATTGCTGGTATCAGTATTTGCCGGTATATATGTATTGCGCAGCTGCTGCGATCAAGAATTTGTTCTTCGGAGACTTAGGTGCAAATATTTTTTTCTTTTTGTCTTCTAATTCTCTGTTGATACCATGACATTTTGGCACAAAATTTGTTCCTTTATACATCAAAGTAATTGGCATTTTGTGATGAAATTCTTGAATCTGTTTAGCACAAACTAAAGATGCATCAACTCTACAATACCTTCCAGTTACTAAAGATGCACAAACTCTACAATACATCACAGAAGTAAGTCAAAGAACTCCTTTAATTTCCATAAAACTTTTAGTCCATCTTGGTGGTAAAAGCTTATGGGTGGATTGTGACAACGGTTTCAAAAGTTCAACTTACAAACCTGGTGTATGTAATTCCACACAATGCACTTATTCCAATCCTAATCACTGTGGTGACTGCATATTGAAACCAAAATTGTAGCCTGGATGCAACAACAATAGTAGTTACATTTGGGGTGAAAATCCCTTGATTGATTGGTTTGATGATAGCGCTGAAATTGCTGATGATGTATTTGTTATTGGTTCTACTCCTGGTGTTCGTGTAACTTTGCCACGGTTCATTTTTGCTTGAATCTGTTTATTCCTGTTGCTTCAACAGACTGGCAGTGGTAGAAAATTGCAGTACAATGCAATATACAGCTGATCAAACCAAGTGATACCGAGAGGCCATTTTTATGGACAACAAGTAAGTCCTTCAGTTTTCGGTAAAAATGAGAACAACAACATTTACTTTCTAGCTTTTATTTGCTTTATCTTCTTTTATGGGGCTAAACTTGTTCTCAATCATACTATTCAGCAAGAAGCCTTTCATGTTTACCATATGGGACGATCTAACGGACAATGAAGGGGTTGTACTACTACAACTGTTGCACGAGCACACTGTTATTCTTGCAAAACGAGTAGTTGTTACAGCATACCGTCGCGGTAAGATCGTCTTTCCTTAATTTATTTGATCCTGCTATGAATAATTTCTTTGCTTTATATGTGCAAACTACTGCATTAATGGATTCGTACAAATTAACTTTCCCGCCATTCTAATCCACCATCCTTCAAGTTATTTACATGTAGGGAAAAAAGAAAAGATAGTCATTTTTACTGTGGCTTTAGCAGGGCAAAAGACAACGAACAAATGCTCTTCGCTTATACTTTGAGAAGCTCATTTGAATCATTTTCATCCCTCAATCTTGCATCTGTTGACAATGAAACAATATCTATCTCGGTCATTCCTTCATTGTCGTCTAGAGTGAGTTTAAAATATGACTTTCACTTTCTTTGTCAATACTGACCAACTTCTCCATAGTGAGATTTCTCCACTAAAAAAACGCTAATATCTCTTTTGAGTTGTGATCTGGCAACAATAGACATGGAAACATTGGTTGAAAAAATATTAGCGATGAGAGCTGAACAAGTGTATGAAACAGTCGTTGTCCAGGTACTTCGTATTATCTCTTTCGAGTTGTGATCTGCATAAGTGTTTGTTCTATACTGACAAATGAATCTGCCTTTTTCTTTGCTGATTGTGACCTCTGTGAGATTCATTTTTCTTTAAGTTTTGATAGAATGAAATTTTGCATTTTAATGTGGATCAGTAGCCTATATGTTGTCTTGGGAAGGCACTGCCTTCAAGATGAATTAGCTTTGCAAGTGATTCTTTATTTCTTTTAGATGTCTCTTGTCTTTAAAATGTTGAAATTTATAAAGAGTTGTCTTCCAGCAGTCCATTTATGCCTAAGGGAAATTACACCAGCATTCCATTTTGTTACTCGCTGTTTTTATAACAGTACCACTACATTGGGAAGGGATTGGGAAGGTATTGTTAAAAGTGACTAGTCTTGAGCATATTAAATACATGATTTATTTCACTAACTTATTTTTATTTTGAATGTACTGGAAAATGCCAGTAATTGAATTTGAATACTGGCCAGAAGTAAACTCGATCTATTGTAGTGAACGATGAAGAGTTTTTGTACTATTGTCATGTATGTTTGAATGCATTTGGGTTTTGTGGAATTTATTGATAGTAGAGATCTTTAAGCAATTGATTTTTAAGTATCGGTTGTACAAGACATGTTTCCCGAAATTTATTTGAAATATATTCCTTCGATTTATTTATTAGCTAATTTTGTGCTTTTGATCACTTATATATATATTTAATTATGTGATTATTGAATATATGCAAATATTTATTATTCTCAAAAATGAAAAATTGTGGCTACAAAGATTCTACACAACATTGTCAAACTTCAAAAGTGTTGCTATAGGGACGTCCAACGTGTGGCTTATTGATTAAAAAATTTATCTTGTACATAAGAAAAGTTACACTTTATAAGTGTTGTTGTAGATGATATATAAAAGGCGACACTTTTTAAGTGTGACCAATAACTAAGCAAAGGCCACACTTTTAAGTGTAGTATAATCAAACAAAAGGTGTTGCTAATGAATTACTACAAAGCGCGTCCTTTATACCTCTTTGGCTACGCTCTTTTGTGTATTAAAAGTAGCTTTCATATAGAATTATTTTTTAGAAAATTAAAAATGTTGTCTACAATAGTCGGAAGATCACCTAATAGTTAATTAATTAACTATTACGACAACCGTAGTCGGCGTTATTAAATTAATAAATTATTATTTAATAGGTATTCCGACTACAATAGTCAGTAGTATTAAAATTAATAAAATATTATTTTACTACCGTTCGACTACAATAGTCAGCAGTTCAGGTACTTTAATGGTCGGGTTTTAATTTATATGTAGTGACTACGGTAGTCGGCAACCTATTTTTCCGACGCTCAGTCTGCTGACTACTCAAAAGTTGTCGGAAAGTCATTGGGAAAACTCCATTTTCCTACTACATTCCAACCAAATTTTGAAGTTGGCAAACAACGAAATTCTAGTAGTGTAATATATTCGATATTTGTATTAAATGTCGCTATTTTAGCAACACTTTTGCTAAAAGTCACTAAAATCAATGACATTTTACAACAAATGTCACTATTATAGTGACATTTTTTCTAAATGTCACTAAAATCAATGACATTTTGCAGTAAATGTCATAATATATTCGACATTTATATTAAATGTCACTATTTAAGCGATATTTTTTCTAAATGTCACTAAACCCAAAGACATTTTGTAATAAATGTCATATTATATTCGACATTTGTATCAAATGTCATCATTTAAACGGCATTTTCGCTAAATGTCGCTATAAACAATGACATTTTGCAATAAATGTCATTATTTTAGTGACATTTTTTCTAAATGTCACTATTTTAGTGACATTTTTTCCAAATGTCACTAAAATCAATGACATTTTGCAGTAAATGTCATAATATATTCGACATTTATATTACATGTCACTATTTAAGCGATATTTTTTCTAAATGTCACTAAAACCAATGACATTTTGTAATAAATGTCATATTATATTCGACATTTGTAGCAAAATGTCATTATTCCTTTTCGCTAAATGTCGCTAAAAACAACGACATTTTGCAATATATGTCATTATCATAGTGATATTTTGGACCAAATGTCATTATATTTATGATATTTGATACCAAATGTCATTATTTTTACGACATTTGACATCAAATGTCATTGTTTTATGACATTTTTTTCTTAAATGTCATGAATTCTTTATTTTCCGACATTTGTTTCAAATGTCACCAAATTAATGTCGTCGTATGTACATTTTCTTGTAGTGATGATAGATATACCTTTTGGAGATCATCTTCCTGGCCTTAAGGTAAGAGATACATAGACCTATAGGCACTGAGCTACTACCCTTCCACTCTAAGACTGTCTCGTTTTAAAATTGAAACCAAATGATTCTAGTTCTACAATCGACTGAGGCATAACATGAATGTAACCAATCTATGCCTAGAATGATATTGAAATCTACCATTTCTAAGGTCTGCTGAGGTGACTTTCAGAGAGACTATGACAGGGTAATTTTTGTATACCCGTCTGGCTATAACTGGGTCACCAATTGGACTAGAAACTAAGAAGGGTTCTGAGAGAGTTTCTGGACTGACGCCGAAGTTTACTACTATATACGGAGTTACAAAATACAGAGTAGCTCCTGGATCTAACAATGTGATGAGTCCACAATTTGGACTCATTTAGGGCTTTATTTTGATAGATTTAGTGTCCTCAAATGCATATTTTGTCTCAATAATTGATGTAAATCCTTAAGCTTCAGGTATTTGAGTTGAGAGACAAAGCATGGACGCTATCAAGAAAAAAAGAAACAAGGCGGCTGAAAGAACGAAGAAATGAAGGCCTGAGGATCGCCTAATGCATTAGGCGAGTCGCTGAATGGCCTAAAACCTCGCCCAAAGTTCCAGTGTGCTGAGCCCTGAAGGAAAAAATCAAGTTGGCGATGAAAGGGAGCAGTCGGCGCATCGCCGAACTGTTCTTTGAAGCAACACCATATCGCCCAATGATTCAAAACGCGAAGATGCTAAAGGCAAAAGCTGAAAGGCGATGAACCAGACCAAAGGGCTGATCGCCGAGTGCATCGGTGATCCTAACTAACTGCGCTGAGTGGTCCTTCGCAGCACAAATTTTTGAAAACTATAAATACCCATTTAAATCTGTAGCTTAGTATCAAGTTTTATAATTCAGAAAACAATTTTTAGAATATTTCAGTTTTAGTTCTTATAGTTTTTGGAAGACATTGTTCTTGAGCTTGAAGGTTTTGAAGGTTTTCAACTCCAAGAAATTGGAAATGGGTCTTGAAGAATTTTCATCCTTGATGTGTTTAAAGACATTATTTATCATACCCATTTGATGGAAACACTTTTTGGTATCGATTTCTATCTCTTTTTCATGTCTAGCTAAAACCCAATTCTTGGGGTGTGATTATGTGAATATGGGTTAAATTTATTGTTGTGTATTGCTCATTGATAGTCTATTTGATGTTTAAATGTGATTTCGTTTAGTAGTTGTGTTTGAACTTAATGAAATTGTAGTTGCAAAAACGATTTCATCTTCGTGTTTTTGGCTTGCTCGAGAGAGGTTTTAAAACCAAGACTACTAAATCGATAGCCTGTGGCTATTGGGTCATCGTGGGTTCAGCTCGAAAGAGTGAATCCAAGTCCTTCTCCCATACATTCAGCTCGAGAGACTGAATGGGGCAAGGCGAAGGCTGTGCTTAATTATTTCAACTCGGTGTTCGAGAAAAATCGAGTTGTTTCGGGATAAGTTGTTCGAGAGAAAATTTACCCCCACTAAAGTTTAGCTTAGTTACAAATGTTCATCGATTTACTATCAATAGCATCTACCGGATTGTTTATTTTATCCCATATTCCTACCACATCCCAAGAATCCCGTCTTTTTTTTTTGAATTTTTATATTTTTGTTGTTTTTGTTTATTAGTTGAATACAAATCCCCATTGATAATTGACATTAGTGTCACCTTTAGATTTAGTATGTTTTTATTTGTTAATATTTATGGCTATGATTGATTAGAACATAATTTTACTTTTCTATTTGATTCTCGACTACTAACCGCTCCCTTGGGACTCGACCCGAACCCATTCGGTTGGGTTATATTACGCACGCGATCTTGACACTTGAATTGGAAGTTGTGTCTTTGATTATGTCAAACATGAAAATGGCGCCGCTGCCAGGGAGTTGTGGTTGTTGAGAATTTTTAGTTAGGTTAGATTTTGTTCTTGTTAGTGATAGTTCTACTCAATTAATTTTTAGCTTTGTGTTTTGCTTGTTTGAGCTTTGAAACTGAGGAGGTGAGTATGTCGAGCAGTACCTTGAGAGAAGAAGGTCTAAAGACAACGAGGGTAAACGTGTCGAAGGAATGCTCTCAATCATTCTCCACAAGGCGAATGAGGATGATAGAGTGCTAGAATAGATGAAGGAGACCATCGAAGTGATGAAACAGATGAATGGTTCTCATTCCAGATCTATCCAGCCGCTCGAAAACCTTATGGATCATGTGATTCCTCAACTCTACCCACAGCAAAACAGGGGTTGCCAAGTGATGCCATGGCTAACCCCCAAAGTGGAGTTTAGGTGACGACTTGCGTCGTGCCACGACGTTAACTAAGGCGCTATTTTGGAGGCAAACCAAAACCCTTTATTGCTTTAATTTTGTTTTAGAAATAATGGTGTTGAATTTGCAGGTTAAAGTGTGGAGAGTGTTTGAAAATTGCAGGTTGGCGAGCTACAAGGTCCAATCGGCGCATCACCGAATAGGTCGGCGAGCCCGACCTAATCCGCCATTTGACTCAAGATATCTTCAAAATTGAGTCAGTAAAACTCGGCGAACCCAGGAAATCAATAGCGAGTCGCCGACCAGGTCGGCGATCCCGACGTAGACCGCCGTTTGGATCCCCACATTAACTGTAGGGCCTGTAAAACTCGGTGAGGTAAGTGAACAATCGACGTATCACCGAGTGGGTTGGCGAGCGCGACTAACATCGCCGAATGGCAAAATCTAGATGTTTTTTTTAAAAATGGGCTAAAGGTTTAAATTTCCTACTCTTCACTTTCCCTCGCTTTTATTCTTCTCAAATTCACACCAGCATAGTAGTCTGCATTTTTCTTGTTTATCCACCGTATTTTAGTTGTTGATTTGTATTCGGAGAAGATTACATTGCCGCCTAGCATCTCAATCTTATTTTAATCAGCTTTAAAAGTGAGTTTTCCGAAACCTGCATTTATTATTATTAATTTGTACTCTTATGCAAGCAATATCTTTCGTGTTGATGTGTGCTGGGCCTCTCTGCTAGTGCTAGGATTATTGTTGCCTATTTTTAAATTCGGACATTTTGCCTGTTTTGAGTGTATTATTAAAATCCCGTAAATTTGTGCATTACATTGTTTGATTTTGTTTTCGGGGGTTGCGGGGTTGAATTTGAGAAGTTGGGTTGAAAATAGGCATGTTAGGTCGTTTGGCAAGCTGGATCGAGCTCGCCCAACCACTCGGCAGTTCGCCTAATATCCCCTTCTTACCTTTAAATTCTTGCTTTATGTGTTATTAGATTCTGTAACTTCCGGCGAGAAGCCTGAGGTCGCCGAACGCACTCGGCGACTCGCCGAAAGACTTCTTCATCGCCCTTTGTCTGCACCCCTGAACCTTTTAT